ACACCATTTCTTTCCAAACCTATTTCATAAAATCCTTCATTTGGTGGTATCCTATACATAAAACTATTATTCTTGATGGATGTATTAGGAGAACAGATTTTTTCCACGCAATCTAATCCTGATACAAAAATGGATCGTTGGGAACCAAAGTATGCTTCAGATATATTTCCATATTTTAAATCTAAATGCCTTGCCACCTTGGGAATATCTAGACCGAGTTGTAACAAGTTTCCAACAAAAGGGAACGGAATTGGTCCGGGAAGAGGATTTTTACGCGTAAAATAATTATAATAATATCGTAAAACGTAAGCTCCTATGACCATAGATGAGACCGTTATCCAGTCCATCGTTGTCATCGTTAAAAATAATGAAGGCATTGTTTATCATCGGATTTTTTAACTTATAGGAAGTAAAGAATAAAAAAAAAATTTTTTTTTATAGTTTTTTTTTAAAGTGATATAAATAGAAACTGCGCTTAATTTGCAAATCACAGTTTCCTTATGATTTACCTGATCCAGATTAAATTGTTACGCCAAAACTCGATTGATTTTTGTTTTTCACAAGAATATTTGTGAATTTTGATGATTCATGATAGTAATATTTGTTTGCATATTCACGTTTTATTTGGTAACATTATTTATAGTAACCTCACGGGTTATCGAGATATTCATCGGTAATTGGATTACGTACCAATCAAATGCATTGCTCATAGTAACTGTAAATTTTAACTTTGAAATTATGTATGATAACATTTTTAAAACAAATTTTCTTTGTTATCAATAAATAATAATAACTTGTTATCGGTTGTGATTAATTTGGTTGGGTGATTGATGGCGTATTTTGGTTTATGTAATTAGTGAACCAGAACAACTACATTTTAACTTAAAAGTAAAATATTTATATGTTAAATATTCGTTATCGTATCTCAATGAACATGAAGGTCAGAATTTAAAGGACATCAAAAGAATTTGTTTTTGTTAAGACAAAAAAAGAACGAGTCCATTAGGTTGTTAACGTTAAGGTTTTATTAATTTTTGAAATAGATTTCCTAATATATTGGGTGCATTTTTTGGCGTATGAACGATTAATTTTAACCGGTTAAAGATTTTAGGCTGATTAAAATCATTTTTATGGTATTTTTTTTTTTTTCATTAATAATATTTTTCATTCATATTTATAAATGACTCGTTTATTTAAATATTTATTTTTTTTATAAAGTTGTTCTAATTAAATATGGAGACCCATCTGCTGCTTTGCTTGAAGTTCTCGATCCAGAATTAAATAAAACTTTTGCCTTCATTGATCCTCATGATTTATCTAGAGGTTTCTTTCTTGTCAGCTGGTTTAAAAGTTAGAATGGGAGATTGCGAGTGTATGTAGAGCAAAAGCTGTGGAATATGCTGAAAGGATAAAGAAATTAGATAATTACTAAGAAGTTGAAAAAACGTCTTGGTGG